ATACAACTCGTAGGTGGATGTTTTCTGAAGTAGCTAAGGCTTCTAATGGAGGTGTTACGTTTTCATGCTTTTGTAATACCCTGAAAAGTAATAAAGAAAATCTGTATTTGCTCATATTTGGAAGACACATATCATTGATGCATTGTTTTTAAGAAAAGATGGCTGGAAATATATGTAGAATTTTGGGCATTATTTTTGGCACTCGTAATCATTGTAGCTGATTGTATTGCTTTGATATCTTAAAGGTAAAAAGATCCTGCTGACAAAGGAGCAGACAACATTCCTACGGAAAAATTTGTTCCGGTGGATTAGCTCCAAACTTTCAGGATGTGTTTCCCAAGTGATGCTGATCAGTTGTTGTACCAACTCGATTTAAAACGATTCAGAGGCTCCAGAGGGGTTAGAAGTTTGCCACGCCTTTTTTTATAAATAAGAGAAAATGGTGGGGTGTTTCCTCTTTCCTTGTTTTAAGTTAATTAATGAATTAATAAATTAGTAAATTACTCTTAATGAAATCTAAGGGTCAGTCAAAGCAAAACAGCTGTCAAGTGGTGTGCAAATTTAAGCCTAGCTCTATAAATCTGAGAGTAGGGGGGTTAAAAGCGGCAGTGACTCAAGACGGATTAAGTCACTTATCTGGACAATGGTCTTATCTGGATAATGGTCTTCTTCCAGTTACAGTTCTAGGTACAGCTGAAATGTCCACAGCTTACAAACGCTCAGGTCAAAAACCAGTAGCCAGTAGTGAACAGTGACGTAATGAACGTCACAACGTATGGGCTGCTTGCCTTGTTCTCAAAATTCATGGTATATAAAAAAAACCTATAGAGAGAAAAATACTGTTTAAAAATCTATTCTCTACTCTATGTCTGAGACAGAGCTACACATTTAAAAAACTCAAACTTGAAGAAAAACCCATGTACATTCTCTTTTAGAAGAAAACTACTTTTCTTTCTGCAAAGGCAAGAAAAGATAAAAATTTCTAAAAGTTATCCATTGTTCTAAAATAAGTTATGGCAGCTCAAAGTTCAAAATCATGATTAATGTAATGCAATAAGCCCAAAAGACAGTGACATGTATGCACTACCCTACATTTGAATTAGTAGAATGCCAAAAAAAATCAAGAACACTCTAAGAATTTCAGTCAGCAATAATTAACACAATGGCTTTCCACTAAAAGGAATCAGATATTGACAAACTTCTTCAGGACCAGCATTAAAGGACGTAGTCCGATGGTAAACAAAAGAGAACTTACCGCTGGAGGTTAAAATCCTATTACAAAATGGACGGGTAGTACCCACCAACACAACTAAACGTAAGGTACAAAATAAAAGGGTACTACTCCATAAACTGGTGCTTGGGGCATCAATATCCCAAAATCTGGAAGTTAACGAAAAAACGCCCGCACACAACCAAAACTACAGCAGAAAGTAAAATGGCGCCGGACCATCTGCGCACGCATCCCCCTAAAAGAAGGTTGAATAAGTGGCCCTGAGGAAGGCACGTGCAACGGAACATCAAAAGGAATAGATAAAAGCGGGTAAAGAAGGTATCTTGATAGGAAGGTAAACATTCATATATGGCTAATAGTATAAACATCATAAGATTTCGCGCTGGTTGCCGATGGGTAGATTGTAGACAGAAACAAATCTGTCTACGAGGGACCAACAATATTTTATGAGGAAATTTCTCAAATAGAAGAAAGATTTCAATACAATACTGAGTCGCTGAGAATGATATACAGTACGTGTGAAATTCTACAATCAATTAACTATAAAATTTGACAAAACAAAATCATTAAAAAGGGTTTAGTCTAGGAATGGGCACTCTATAATCAATAAAGAGAAATTCAATTCATAAGTGATCAAAACAGCAAAAACAAAGGTTCCGTGATTTTGGCACGTGACGAGTTGCGTATACGAGGGATGTCTTTTAAGTTTTGCATATAGTCGTATGCAGAAACATAGTAGGCCACGCGGATCGAACGTCAGTACTGAATCTTAACCTCACTCTTTAGTAAACTTAAATTCAAAGTTTCACAACAATACGTCCAGTGTTCTCACTACAGTAAATTTTTAAGTGTCACCAAGTCATTAGAAAAATGGAACTCAACCGAGAACATTTTCGCACCATAATTTACCTATCACAACTTTCAGAGACAATTATCGTAACAAGAATGTCTTGCTGAGTTACTGTCTGTTTTCGGTAACGAAGCACCACATCAGTCGACAATTTCCCGTTGGTATGGAGAATTCAAACGTGGACGAGTGAGTCTTAGCGGCGATCCCAGGGTGGGTGCACCAACAACGGCAGTCACCCAGGAAAACGTCGATGCTGTACGCAAACTGATCATTGAAGATAGACATGTGACATATCTCGAGATTGAGGCGTCCTTGAAGATCTCAAAGACCCCAATTCAAAAAAAATTTACATGAAGAATTAGGAGTAAGAAAATTAGTTTCCCGTTGGATACCTCACCTGTTGACTGAAGAGCAGAAAGCAGCCAGGATTAATTGTTGTCAAAAAACGCTTGACCGTTTCAATTCCGGAAACTCATACAATGTGTACGGCATTGTTAGTGGTGATGAATCGTGGATTGACTGTTATAAACCAGAAAATAAACGACAGTGGGCTGTTTGGGTGTTCCAAGCTGAAGAAAAGCCAACAAAAGTCATCCGTTCTCGAAGTGTTTCGAAAAAGATGGTCGCGACATTTGTGTCAAAAGCGGGTCATATTGCAACAATTCCTCTTAATGAGCAGAGAACTGTTACTGCGGATTGGTATACCACCATTTGTTTGCGAAAAGTCATCACCGAGCTTCGAAAGATCAACCCCTAAAGAAAAATCATCCTCCACCAAGACAATGCAAGCTCGCACACAGCCCAAAAAACAAGGCAGTATTTAAGGGAAGAAAACGTGGAATTATTGGACCATCCTCCATATAGTCCCGATCTAAGTCTTAATGATTTCTTTACTTAACCGAAAATTAAAAACAGACTGCGTGGTCAAAGGTTCCAGTCACCAGAAGAAGCAGTTGACGCATTCAAAAATGCCGTTTTGGATCTGCCAGCAAACGAGTGGAATAAGTGCTTCGAAAATTGGTTCGAGCGTATGTGTATTAATCTTTGTGGAGAATACTTCGAAAAACAATAAAGTCATTTTAAACTACCTACCGTGTTGTTTTATTTCCATATGCTAAACTTAAAAGACATTCCTCGTATATGCCTTATTTAGCGAGCCCGATAAAATACGTCCCTATTACAGCTCTTAGGGTTAGTAAATTACATCACAGATGAGTCAAAATACTTGTTGCAAATCGTACCAAACGTATGTCCTAGAAGTTTTGGCGCAAAATTCATCGGCTTTAATTTTAACACACACAAAATAATATCAAGTTACCTTTGGAAACAAAAGTTTGTTTACTTTACTATCAGTTGACATTTATTTATTTTGAAGTTTTCGCTTTAAGATGTCGTATAAATTAGAAGTAAGAAAAAGTATCTACAAATTTATTTGGCGGGCACCTAAATCAAATCTGAAATCTGTCGAATACCCCAGAATGTAAATATTTCACGCAGAACCATTTATCGAACAATAGCGGAGTGCTAGCAGGGAATACCATGTCTGAATCTTTCAAAAAGTAGAAGACCAGGTGCATTTACTGCACAGAGGTAAAAGAGATTGGTGAGAAGAGCAAAAATTTAGGTTAGAATGTCAACAAGGAGACTATGGCTTGTCAATACAGATCTTCTAAAAGTAGGTACGATATCGTTGGAATTGAGGAGGAATGATCTTAAATATAATATAAGAGACTTAAGGGTCCCAAACACTGTCAAGAGCAACTCGTTCGTATATTAAGATGCTATCGTCAAATGAGTCGGGTACACTTTACCGATGGAAAAACAGTTATTTTAGATGACCAAAAGTATTTCAGTTTGAGTGATTCTGAAATGAAGGAAAACGACGGATTTTATACGGTCAACGTAGAAAAATGTCCTGACAATGTTGTATACAAACAGGGCGAAATGTACAGACAAAACCTTTGTCTGGTGCGCATTTTCTAACAGGGGTGTATCCCAACCTTTGTGGGAAGAGTGAGAGGGTGAAGCTTTGAATAGTCTGAGCTATATTGATAAATGCCTTTGCAAATTGCTTCAGTTTGCCCACGAACATCATGCTAATAACCATTAAATGTTTTGGACAGCCCTAGCATCATGCCATTACCAAAACGGGTTTCGACATCACAACATAGTTTTTGTTACCAAACCGGTAATCCTCCAAATTTGCGGCGAGCTCGCCTAATACAGGATTTTTGGACTTTACTGTCTAGGAAGGTTTATCATGGAGGCTGGAAGGCCCAAGATGGAGAACAATTAAGACGGCGAATTTACGATAAACTGAGAGAAATTGATCTGAATTCCGTCCAATACTTCGTGAGAGACATTCGATGAAAGTTGCGTTTGGTAGACTCGATAGTATAGTTTAGTTAAGTATTAAGTTGTAATTTATGATAACTAGTTAGTGTTTAATTTTGTGCCAAAGCTTTTAGGACATACGTTACTTTCATTTTCCCTCTTACGACACTTCAAAGTCGGAGTAATGTTTATCCATTAACGGTTCCTCATGCTCAATATTTTGCAAAGTTTGCTGTTTTAAAACTTACGATTTAAATACATTTCATCGCAGTCTGTTAGGATACTAAAATCTGTTTTTATCCATCACGTGTAAAAAAGTTCCAGCAAGACTCGAGATTTTTCAAATTTTGTTTTTCAGCAATTTTCACCTCACATCAAACTAGCGCATATCAGGATTCCCTGAAACAGCTCCAATAGAAACATCAGCTACTTCAGAAAGCATCCATTTTAAACCGTTATTCGCCTGAAGTAGGTGTATGAAAAGTAATGATTTAATAAATAGAAAATCGAAACCGTTGCTTCATTTACCTTTTCGTATGCTGTAGTGAAATTCTCTGTAATGAACCTTATACATACTCTTTCCAGTTATTCTACGGTCTACGGAAATGCAACCGTAAATGTATAAAATTTCATGGGGTCCTGGTATAAGACGGAGGAAATTCGTTCGCAAATGGCTTCTCCGGCAGGAAATCCTAGAACGAGACGCCATGTCGTAGCTGGATAACTACTAAGGGTAACTGTAGCCCTGTGCCGAAGCACCAGATACCAAAAAAAGTATAAATACAACAAAAAGTAAGCTCACTCGCGAGACCACTCATGTTCGGACTTCTGGAGTTACAGGGTGGCCGATATGTAACTGACTGCTTTGTATCTTGAATATTTGTGAAATGAAATAAAAAACATCCATTTTTTCATCTTAGTCTTTAATTGAAACTTAGAAAGTTTTGCACCAGACCACGGTAGCGCTCGCCAATGACAGTAAGAGAATTACTGCAGCGTCTTCAAAGCAGTAAGGTCCAATGGCACCTCCATCTCAAACACAGCACCAAACTGTGACTTTTTTTTGACACTAGGACATTGCGTCCCATTAGCCAGATCCAATCTTGTATATGTATATCTCTAATTATGGACAAACACACGACGTCACAACATCCATGGCGAAGGCGAGATTCGAACTCGCGGCCCGACCGGCCGGCTGATCAGTAGCACGACACTCTGCCCACGCGGCCAACCGGGGTCCCAAACTGTGACTTGACGAGGATGTAGTGGTCGTTGATGGATGACACGAGGGTTCTCTAATGTCCAGAAATGACAATTCTGCTGGAATATTGCATGACTGTATTCTCGGCGACTTTCATGGTCACTAGACTGTAGTTCTTGTGTTAACTGAATTTTATATGGCCGCGAATCCAAGTCTTTTTTTAAATAGTGCATAATGACGTGCGACGAATACCCAGTTCTTGAGAACGATTGCTGGTAGACGTCTCACGGCGCTCCTCCATACCTTCACCAACTCTCTCGATATTTTCTGGAGAATGAACAGTTCGTACACGGCCCGACCTTGGCAAGCCTTTAACTTCACCAGTTTGTTTGAATGTTGAAATCTTGTCGTAGCTTCCGAATCGTTGCAACAATCGACTCATTATTTAAGTAAAACGTCTTAACAATACGGACACGTTGTGGGATCGTGTAGCGCTCCATGATGAATTGCACACATGTGCTTTAAACAACTACTGCGGCGCCACCTACTGAAACGTATCAAAAATGGTGCACAATTTGAATCAGTCAGTTATATATTGGACATCCTGTATTACCAGCACGACAATCGAAGGTAAAATTTATCTCCAACTGCCAACCGAACAACACGCGATACGCCTAGTAGCAACTAAATCGGATTGTGCGTTTAACACGCTCAGTTCCAGTTTGCAGCTAAAAATTTCAAAAGCTTATAAGATGATAATTTTCGTATTCTGCAATGACATTTTAATGTTGCTAAAGCTGTATACGGTCTCACTTATATAATTTTGTTGCTTTATGAAATGAAATTTTATAGAGAAACTGCAACTCGATTGAAAATCCATTTACCTATTTCTAGAGTGGAGCGTTGGATCTTCTTGCATTTTTGAGGTAACACTTTGACGATCCTCATGTCAGTTTTCCAACATTTCTATAAAGGATGAGGGTCGGATTTTGCTTCAAATTATTTTTGGGTAAAAAGTCAAAATAACATACAGAGCCGTCTTTAGGGTGGAGCGGGCCGCTCCAGGCCTCGTGCAGAGGAAGGGCTCGCGCCGCGACGCCTTACTCGCTCTAAGAAATAAGTAAAAAGTTTTGGTTGAATGAAAATAATATAATAATGTACAAATATACGTGCCTAAAATATCTGTCTGATTACTCTCATGACCAAAAGAATGCAAAACATCGTTTGATAGTGGCAGCAGAGTTTGAGTTGGAGGGAGAAGATGAGACTATGTCAGAATCTGCCGAACAAAAGTTTAAACTATATTTAAGATTTTCACTTAAGAATAACAAACAAATAATAATATGTGCAAATAATATGAATTTTGTAATAATATGTGCTTATTTATGACTGATTATTCACTACAAAAAAGATTTTTCTTACGAATTTACTTATTTCCTGGCAAACCTAAATTTTATTATAATTTACCTAATGATTCATTGCTTAAAAGTGGAAGAGTTTAGACCAAAGTCATGAATCATATTTCTTTCTTATCTCAATAATTGTTAAGAATTATTCTTTACACAGGGTGAAATATTGTATAGTAAATCAAAAATAAAAAAAATCAACCTTGGCAAATGAAAAAAAAATACGTAAATAATTGGCGTGTTTTAAGCCGAAAGGACTTCATGAAAAATGCTAAAAATACTTTTTGCATGAGTATTTTAAAAAATTTTCGTAGCAATTCTAGTTATCTAGATATAAATGACTTAACATTTGAAAAAGTAGAAAATATGCTAAGTTCAACCCCGAAAAACAATACAAAAAAGCAAAACTTTGATGTTGCCGAAGTGCCTAAGTATCTTTCAAACATGCATTAACAACATCTCAAAGGATTATATGAGGCATTCTTATTGTAAACTTTTGTTTTTTAGTTACTTATAATTGACTTATCCTGTCAATGTTCATTGAATGGTGAATCAGTTGACATCTTGTAGTAGCGCCTCCTACTTACTTAGAAGAAACTGTAGTAGATTATCAACTTATATATTGACATATATTTTTAAAACAACACAAAAGTTGTCGCTTATATTAATTATGCTCAATCCGCGGATACCTGCCTGCCCGCCATTTTAGTCGTATTGAAACTATATTATGCAAGGAATACTTTGTTTCTCATGAAAGCCCATATTAACATTAAATGTACTACCTCAGGAACTAAGCGGCAGATTTTGTTCAAGCTTCACCGACATATAAGTCTTGAACATATAAAAAACTTTTTTGTAGCCAAACACAACACCTTAATCTATGGACAGCCTCGGAAGATATGTCGCTCTTTCCTAAGGGTCCCGCACTTTTTATTGCTGCTAAAAATCCCTATTCATGGCGGTCACAACTATCTAACCGTCCATCTAACTACTTGGGAGGGTCTTAAGATGGTTGTAAAAAGCTGTTTAACATCGAACTGAATCTACTATTCCCTTGTGTCTTTATACCGTGACGAAAGTAAGGGTTTAATGAGCAATAAAACTCGCTTTATACATCCATCTGCCTGCATCGTTTCTCATTTGACACATAACGGAATTGGAGTGTATTTTGTTTGCTTGAGCTGCCTCACAAGATTTATATGTGTGTCAAAGTTATTAGGTCTATCTGACCTTGTCAAGCTTACCGTAGAAATGGAACAAAAAATAATGATCGGATTTCTGTATCTGTACGTTTATGTCAGAATATGGTGGGCAGTGATTGCGATGGTAAAAGATACATGATTATTTTTCCTTATAGTCAATTTTTAAAAATCGATTTTCTTAATCATAGTAATAAATTTTTGATTGTAATAATAATTTATTTGTGTGTGTACACAAAAGTCGCTGTCTAGGAAAGGCTCAGCATTTGAACAATACAATGTAATACAAAAAAATAATACATACACTCAAAAAAACATAAACAAAATCGAAAACAAACACTAAGTGATAAAACAAATAGTCAACAATTATTGAAGTCGGTAAAATCATGATTTAAAAACTCTTCTATGCTATAAAAACCTTTTGTGACTAAATATCTTGTCACAATTGCTTTAAAAAAGCTTGAGTGTTTCACAAAACGTGGGCAACGCATTAAAGAATTTTATGCCGAAACAATTACTTCCATGTCTAATTTTTGTGGAATTAATTCATTATTGAGCCTTATGTTATATTTTTGTTTCTCTTTCGGAGTTCTGTAATCATCAAAATTATTTTTAACATGGATCAGGCATGCCAGTATATAGGTAGGGGTACAGTTAAAAATTTTAGATTAATAAATGCCATCTTGCAACACTGTCTGAAATGTAAATTTGCTATTATTCTCAAACATCGTTTCTGTACAGCAAACCAACAAATGAGTACTAAGTAGAAGAGATTGAGCTTTCGCCATATTAAGAGACAAACTCTTGGTATTAAAGTAGTTTTGTTTGTTATCAAAATACTGCTGAGAATCGAGTAATACCTGCTCAAAATTATGATATTGATATTGATGTCGTGTCATCCGCAAATAACATATATTGATCGATGCTACAGTTTGGCAGATCGATGTAAATCAAAGAAAAAATCGATCCTAAGACATTTGTTTGTGGAACTCCGTCTTTAATATGTACAGTGTTAGATAAACAATTTTGAAAACTAGCACACTTCTGTCTGATAAATAAGACGCAATTAGTGACAGACTGTTCTTACTAAAACCATATAGCGACAACTTTTGAATCAAAACGTGATTTCGAACACAATCTTGTTATCTTCCTTTTGTTGACGAAACTGATGAAATCGTTTATTGATGCTTTCGTTGATCTGTTGGCACGGTGTCTAAACTGGCTATGACAGAACAAATCGTTAGGTCTGTAATTTTACAAGGATCATTCTCACATTCTTTCTTGAAGAGTGGAATAGTATTTGCGAGTTTTTTTTGTTATAGGATTTACTATCAAGTTATTTAAGGTCTTCAAAATTTTTACGTCGATGTCCTAGGTATCCTTACTTTTAGGATTCTTTAAGCTTTTTAATGAACAGTTCGAAGGATAAAATGTAGTGTATATACACCACAATATTACAATTAGTCGATTGTATATAATGGGTGATTTTGTTGCTAGTATCTTTTTGGCAACACTGTTTTTGACAGATGACGCGTGAATCGTGTCTTGTGTAATTGTCAAACTTGTTCAGTTTGGTCTATAATTTAACCATGAATCGACTTACGAACGAACAACGCTTGCAAATTATTGAATTTTACTATCAATTTGGTCGGCCTACTGAGGGAGCTATTCGGAAGCTTGTGACTAAATTTCGAACCCAGTTTACATTATTGGACATTAAACCACCAACACGCAGAGGTAGAGTGAGGACTGAAGAAAATATTGCGGCTGTATCCGCCAGTGTTAGTGATGACCGTGAAATGTCGATTCGCCGCCGTTCGCAGCAATGGGGCCTCTGTTACTCCACTACGTGGAAAATTTTGCGACACGATTTGGGTGTAAAACCTTATAAGATACAGCTGGTGCAAGAATTGAAGCCGCACGACCTCCCACAACGTTTCCAATTTGGTGAATGGGCGCTGGCAAAGTTGGAGGAAGATCCACATTTTTATCGAAAAATTGTGTTCAGCGACGAAGCTCATTTCTGGTTGAATGGGTACGTTAACAAGCAAAATTGCCGCATCTGGAGTGAAGACCAGCCAGAAGCATTGCAAGAG